ATGTATGTATGTATGTATGTATGTATGTATGTATATATATTAGGGAAGCTTCAAACTCACAGTTTTAGTGATGTTTTTTGGAAAACATTTCTGTAACTGTATGAGTGGAATGTTTAGCTGTAGATTATACACCACAGTGCTCTCCTTGTATAATAGAACTGAGAGAAATGGAAGAGGGCTTTATGTACATGTATTTGATTTTGCTGTGTACAAAAATACTTATTATTTATCAAATACTACTGCTTAAGGTTTAGTCTCAATTTGTATATCTGAATTACAGACAGCTTCTGGAGTGTCATCATTTTCTGATGTCAAGTCAGCTGTCGATGCTGTGGTAGAAATTCTACAGAGTGGTATTCCCATGGCTCGTATTGGTAAATTGATTTTAAACCCTTGAATTTTTATGATTTTATAACTATTTGTTGGTGAAAATTTGTGTTATATTTTTAAAAATAAGTACCCTGTCATTGGAAAAATACTATTAGAACATAGCTAACAGAACCATGCAATCAAATTCAATCTACGTAAAATCCTGATAATGCATGCTGACAGCGTCAGCAAATCGCTTCGCCAGAAATTTTTTTTTTGTGCGAGTGGCCATTGTTAGCGAGGGGAAAAATAATATATTTCACAACAATAATGGATACAAACAGAAACTCGGCCTACTAGTCCGAAAACGAAGACAATGTTTCAATCTTTTCCCTTGGGCTAGAGTTCTTAAATGAGGCAGAAAAAGAGAAAAATAATGGAAAAGGAGACTTGGCATCAGTGCCGTCATGATTCGCTTCAACTGATATTGTTGTCCGTTTTTCGCGTCGGATTTGATGCGCAATTCCACCAGCTATGTTCTAAAACAATTGGTTCATGCTTTCAGCTGTGCACTATCGAGTTATGGAGCTTGTGGGTAGTTTGGAGAGCACTCAAGAAGCTAGAGTTGCCCTCAGCTATCGCCTCGGGCAACTCTTACGCTTCTTTCGTGCTCTCCAAACTTCCCACGTGCTCCATAACTCAGTAGTGCACGCTAAAGCATGAACCAATTGTTAATTAGTCAGGGTCCTCGTGTGATTGCTTCCACTGCCCTTGGTCCTGAACCATATTCTTACAGCTTCCAATCATTTTGCTTCGGACGCTAGCATCAACCATTTGCAAACTATTTTGGAGTGCTGAATGCTTGTCCTTACACCTAGAGCTCTTCTTACTTGACTGTGACAGCCAAAATAATGTTGTGTAAAAATGCACTCTTTAATTAGTTTCAGTATACTAACGAAATGAACAGAAGAATTGTGATGGTTGCTATAAATGAATTACAAGTAATGAGTTATTACAATTATATGTAAAGAAATTGAGAAAACAAAAATAAAGGACAGCAAAAGGCACTTGCTAATGTTGTACAAGATCTGGAACAAATTGCAAAATGAAGAAAATATATACAATTTGTAAAGTGACGATTTAAACAGTTAAATGATAGATTTGAATGAATAAAATCCAGATTGAAGAACATATACAAGTGATATAAACAAAGGAAAATTATGCAGAAAAAATAGCAGAACATTGATGAAGTAATGCTCTTAGAACAAATGGCATAAATGAAAATGTAACAAAAAAAAATAGATAAGTATGAATGTATAATAAGTTACACCGGCCAATTGCATTTTTGGTTGCAACATGGCGTTTTTATTGCCTCTTTCTTGTACAGAGTTTCTTGATGATGTGCAGATTGATGCTTGTAACAAGTTTTCAGGGCTGAATTACCCTGTGGCTCCAACACTGTTCTTGGAGTTCCAAGGATCAGAGAATGGGGTCAAAGAGCAAGCTTCTGTTGCAGGTCAGATGAGAAGCTAACATTAATACAGATGTATGTACATGCTAAATTTAGTGAAAAAAGTAATTTTACATGAAGTTTATGGGCATGGTAAAGTTAAGTTATAAAATAAGTAATTTTTAAGGCTTTCTCTCCACTTTTTGTGGGGAAAGATGCCATGGCCCATGAATAGTCCATTTTACAGTTGTGTGCTTGGTTGCCAAGCCTTTGAATGGGAGTGAGGCTAGGGTTGATCTGGGATGACCTTGTTATGATACAAACCTTGCTGCCTTTCAAATGTAAATCACTTTGTTATCATGCTAAGTAGATACAGGTCTCTATCCCAACAAGGTCACCTTCAGCCTCACTCTGAATCAAAGGCTTGGCAACTAAGTACACAACTGTAAAATGGCCTATTACTGGTAGTAAAGTGGATTATGGATCAAGAGGTTCTGATTGAGTCTCAATTCCGTCATGTTCTTGAACGATGCACTCTACTTTCTTTAAAACTAGGAGTACAACGGCTGCTGGCAAGTTGTCAGGGAAACTTCATACTAACTGAAACATACTTGGTTTAACTTCACATTCTGCCCAGGAAGACTACCGCTGCTGCTTCCTCTGAGCTACGGGGGCTGAGATAAGCTGCAGCTGTGATTGGCCACTAAGCTTGCTTGTGACACATGTACAGCGTAACGCTCTTCCTTGGTTTTCTTTAGGTGAGATAATTGAAAGTAATGGTGGTTCTAAATTCCAGTGGGCCACAGAACTGGAAGAGAGAAATAAATTATGGAAGGCACGACACAATGCATGGTACGCTGATATGGCTCTTAGACCTGGTTGTAAGGTAAGAGTGCAACATTGGTCTCACTGACATCTCTTTTTGAAGCTTATATGAGTGATTTCTTTTTCTTGATTACTCTACACCTTCACTCGCGGTCAATATGTGTGCTGCGCGAATAGATGCATGCAAGTTGTGTATTTCAAACATGTTTTTTTTTTTTTTCGTTTTTCAAGTAGTGTCATGGTAATGTACTAAGAATAGCTCCGAGCCATTTCCTTCCTGGTATTTGTTCCCTTTCTTTTTCAGGGAGTATCAACAGATGTCTGTGTGCCGATCTCACGACTGCCAGAGATAATCGTGGAAACTAAAGAAGATATCATGGCTTCTAACTTAATCGGTGAGTTTCACATGAGTACGAAGCTGCCCCGCTACACACCTTAACTTCCAAGAAAAGGAGTATCTGTTGCTCGTGGTTAATAACACTGCACTCGTTCATTTCCAGCCCCTATTGTTGGGCACGTGGGCGATGGAAACTTCCATTGTTTTATTCCCATAAAACCAGATGACGAGGATGAACTCCGTGCGGCTAAGGAATTCACCCTCAGATTAGGAAGGTAAGAACAATCCGGATTAAAGAATGTCCTCGTCTTTTCTATTCAGCTCCAATTGGTGGACATGTGGGAGATGGAAATTTTCATTGTGTTTTGCCTCTTGACATGGGATGTGAAGAGGAAGTGCGGAATGCAAAAGATTTTGGGGATAGACTGGCCAGGTATGTCATTTTTGTGGTGGAAGAAGTAGGTCCCCGGCCAAATTTTTATGCTGGGCGTTGCAGACAATCAAACTTGGGGTACGTTGAAGATTCCATAAACTTACAAAGTTCCAGAAATAACGAGGTTCTCAGGATGTAAGTAGTTGGACAAATGAGGATGAAAAGTTTTTGAGGCACTGTGAACAAAAAAAATATCAAAGAATTTGTCATTGCTGTTCAGATAAGTGTCAGCCTATTCCAGGCCCTCAATCAGTGGAAACGAGCGAAGGAGTAGGCTGGAAATAAACGGCGGTTATGGTTACTAGGGAAACGGCGGCGTAACCTCTCCTTTCTTCTCTTCCTCTTTTGCCTGACGCCGCCCTTTTTTTTTTGTTTGTTTTGCGCACCCTTTTTTTCCTATTTTTTTTTTCCTATTTTTTTTTACGCACCCGCTTTTTCGCTCACTTTTGCTAACTAATAGGCTAAATGACTCTGAACAGGATATGATATATTCTTCACGTTACCAAAATGTCTCTTTCTTTTATCACCCAGACGAGCCCTTGCCATGGGAGGCACATGTACTGGAGAGCATGGTATTGGGTGTGGCAAGCAAGCTCTGTTGCCCGAAGAGATTGGTGAAACTGGTGTTCGAGTCATGAAAGACATAAAGAACTTGTTCGACCCTAATGGGATCATGAACCCTGGAAAAGTGTTCATTTAAAAAGATCTCTCGTGTTAAACACAAAGAAACTAAGAAACTAACTAAAGATACACTTAACAAAAACGAGACGAAAGAAACAATTAGGTACAAATTGTTTAAAGCTAGAGAAATGATCGTTGATCAGAAGACTCCGTTCGGAGTATGATTTATACCTCTTTCTAAGTTATTCTTCCGTCTTTTCTTACTTACGCTGCAAAAGGTCTCAAACGTGAAATAGCTTTTAGTCGAATTTCGGAAGAGTTATGCATACAACCAGGAAGTGTCTTTTTGAAATTAGCGTCCGTGAATCAACTGTGTAACCGTTGTGTTCTTTAGTGGGGCAAATGTTGTCCATGGTTCAAAATCACTTATTATAGCGACCGTAATTTTAAGGCGTCTAACTGAACAGTTTTGTCAATGTTGTTCAAGTTCTTGTAAAGAAATATGTGTAAAAAAATCGTGGCTTTAAACTTTTCTTACCGGTGACTGAGGAGAAAAAGACCATAAACCGCTCTTTGACCCCCGCTGAAAGAAGTTAATTTCGGACCCTGGTGTTTTATTTAGCTGTTGAGAATTATTATGAATTTTTTCCCTTCGAATTTGCGGTGTCGCGCACATGAAACGATTCTGGGAGGGGAGGGGGTGTAATTAGTTTCACTGTGTATGCAGTAGTAGTTGCTTGGTAGGGAGAAAATTGTTGGATGTAAAAATAATTTTATAAGTATATAATAATACGGTTTTTACTTAGATCAAGAGTAATAATTATGTACAATAAACATTTACTCAAAGGAGATCTAATTTTGTCATCCTTGTTCACAGTCAGCGACCCAAATACCTTTGCTACGTTTAGTTTTCTAGGAAACCATTCCGGAACAGACGCAACGAAATGAAATCAAATTCCTATTTATTTGTGATGACATTCTGCGAGTTATGACCCATTCTGCAAATATTTTTGGTTGAAAGAAAAGAAAAATCTGAAAACGACAAAAAAAACTAAACCTTTTGTTAATGAATTCCCAATACTAATTTCAGACACAAACGTCCGATTTTAATCACTGTTGTCAGATTGTGAACACAGGTGTCCGAATTTTGAAACTAGTGTCCAATTTTTAGACAATATTCAATTTTAAGATGTTGATTTTGCACTCAAGCGTCTAATTTTAAACACTAGTACACTTCACCGTACACTTTCTTTGCGTATATATAGCGCTCCCGGAACATTTTCTTATCCCTGATGATGCCGTTGATCGGCGAAAGCTTGGATTTTAAATTTTACTTCTTAGACAGCAGTTCAAGGCCTCATTGGAACAGTTTGTATGTTTTTAATTATGTTACTGAAAGACAACATGAACAGACTAGGGGGTAGGTATTAGTGTCTGATTTTGGTGTTTCAAAAACAGTTTGGCCTAACTATATCGGCTGGAATAAGCAACCTATTCTTCCGTAGCGGAGGAAAGGCAACATTAACACAGAAGGCCAGAAATTTTGACTTTATAAGCGAACTGAAAGTTAAGGTCATGCCCTGGTTTAGCACTGAAAAAATGGCTTTCCTCCAACTACGCAACTCCCTCTCTAGACCAGCACGAATGGAAGCGAGCAAATTTCCGAGAGTTGCCGTTTTAACAGAGAATCCTCCCAGTTACCACAAAGCTTGATGATACAGCAGAAACAAGATGATTTTAAGAATTACCATAGGGAAAAAAATCCCACACATTGAAAAAAAAATTGTATTAGTTGCATATTTAGAGCTGAGTAATAGCCACACACAAAATGTTCGTAGAGAAAGGTGTTGTTTCATCGTAAACAAAAGAACAGCAATCAAATATGGAAGCCTTGAAGTAGCCACCCCTAACCTAATCCTCACCCATAACAATTTGGTTTTACCAGTTGGCCACAGCGGAGTTTCTAAAGCTGCCGTTTGAACGGTAGTCCTTCCTTATGCTCTAACAAAGGGCTAACGCTCGAAAGGTCAGCTTAGAAATTCTTTACCATGGCCAATCTATATCATCAACGAAGTTGATAAAACCAAATTGTCTAGTAATACTCCCACCGAGGCAGCACTCTGCCTTTATTCGTGTTCATGAAAACCGAATTTCAAGACTGTCCGAAACCTTATATTTGATCCTGTTGGCTTCCATTGTCTAATGCTTAGTGTTTTTCCCCATGTTTTGCAGGTATAAAAACTGTTGGAAAAATACATATTTTTTTTCGTCCTTAAAGCCTCACATCTCGGAAGAATTAAGATACCTCGATCATAAGCTGTCACAATGCTGGTTGTAGGTTTCTTCACTGGTTTCATCAAAGCAGGCACTGCACCACTTGAATCAGATACCTTCGCACGTCTCGCTCGAGGAAGAGAAAATATGAAGTGATATAAGAAGTCCAGTCCAGATTTCGGTGAGTCTCAGTTTTGACTCTAGCAAACGTGTAGCCGTACCCTTCCCTCGTGGAGAAACGGAAGGAAGTGACGTCACAGAACACGATTTGTGTCAGGTTGCGTAGACGTTTCCTCCCTTCCGTTCCTCCTCGGGGGGGAGGGTACGGCTGCACGTAGGATATTTTGACTAAAACAAAAGAAACCAGTTGAATGGCGACTTTAATTAAAGGAAAACTTTCTACTTCAGTCGATTCTTCGAGACGGAGCTTAGCATCACTTGCCGTCGCGTTTATTTTCAGGACAAAAAATTCCCCTCGAAATCAACCAATCGAATTAATCAAGAGGTACAATCAAAGAACCACACACGAATACAATAAAAAGGCGCGCGGGAACGACACGCACGAACGAGAAGACGCGCGAGTAAAAAACAGGTAGAACGAAACAAGAACTTGATTATGTCCAGGCACGTAGCAGGTGTCATCTGGATAACAATGAGCGTATGAGTGCCTCCACGCTTTGGAGAAACAAGTCTGTGTAGCCTGCGGTTTTGTAGGCCCCAGCAAGAAGTTCCATATCGGCGTGAAACAACTTTTCTCTCCCATGAATTCTGTAGCTTTCAAGCAGAGATTTCATGTCATCTATAAATTTTTGATTATATTCCGGTATTTCTGTCGATTGTTGTGATGAATTCTTCTGCTCATTGACAACGAATTTTGTGATTGATATTTCTGTAAAAAAAGGGAAAATGTCTTCACGTTAAAAACTATCAGCAATTTGATGAATCACTAAAAAAAAAAGTTAGGAGAAACCAATCTTACCAGGAGATCATTTGATTTTATCAACCGAGTTGATAATAAAAATTGGCCACGCTAAGACATCCTAGAGCCGACGTTTCGAGCGTTTGCCCCTCGTCAAAGTAAGACTTCGCTTAAAAAAATTTCTCCTTGACAGAAAACTTAATTAAACTTGCCCGCCCTTAATTAGCAAATCTATCTTCTATATCATGTGAGGAACCCAGGTTTGATGAGCAACTAGCTTCTGCTGGGCTTCTTCCCCATACTTTTTACAAATGATCCTAAATAGTACTTTTATATGGATTAAGTATAAATTGTTGTATAATGATATAATTATAGCTATTATTTTTTATTGTTGTAAACAACTGTAATTTCTGGTCACCGATTAATACCAGTCCATCAACCTTTTGTTGACTGACTGACCATTTTTTTTTACAAAGATAAATAAAGTTATTATTATTATTATTAATTTATTTTTGTATGTGTAAGTGACAAATGAATAAAACATTAGTAAATAAATAATGTCAGCTTCAGGAACTCTTTATGGTGGCCAATTTATGTCATCACCTCAGTTGATAAAACCAAATAATCTTGTATTACCCCATCAAAGCAGCACCATACTTTTTTTTTAGAAATTTACCCCCTTTATTCAATCTTACAAGAGTTAAAAGTGCATCAGTAACAGCACACTAAAGAGATGCAGATGTTATATCAATGTTAAAGTTAAACATAGTTAACTAAGGGGGGATTCAAATCGAGTGCGAAACGTAATCTGGGATTGTATCAGTTTTCTTTTGATCCCCTGTATGATTGGTGTAGAATACTCTCCATGTCCAATACCTAACACACCAGTTTTTTTTCCTTTTTTTTCTGCAAGACAAAAAAATTGTGGATGCCTTGGCAAGGACCTATGGCCAGTGGGTCAAGAGGAGTTTAAGGGAAATTATACTCCAGTAACTCATCTCTAAATAGTGCCTCTCAAGCTCCTGCCCAGGCTCCTCTTTTTACCTTCTCTATTTGTGAGGAAGAGAGAGAAGCTAGCATTGAGGTTACATACCAATGAAAATTTTTCATTTCTGAAGATCACTAGCAAAACAATTTTCCAAAAAAAGAAACATGAAATGCCTTGGCAAACTTTCTCAGTAGTGTAGCTGTGGAAAGTTACAACAGCAAATCGAAAATTTTGGCTTTATGTCAATGAAAGAAAAAAACATTGATAGTTTTCCCTAAGAGAGCATTACACTTACTGTTCAGAAGTCTATCCCTTGCATCTCTGCTTCCTCTTAGAACGGCTCCTAACTCCCCTCTCAGTTCATTAATCAAACCTTGAAGTTTACTGTTAAAATCTTGATTGTCTGTGAGGACTATTGAAAACAAAAATAGTGAGAACACGTTAAAAATAAAATATATGGTATCAAATTGTAAACTCCTCTTAGTTAAAAAGTGAAAACAAACCATAAAACACTATCTGTTGCCTGGTAATTTATCCTGTGAAAAAAAATTTCCACTCATTAAATTTAGTATGGACAAATCGTTATAACAAGGGTCTTCAGGCAGCAATTCTCCTGGGAGCTTCTGTAAGTTAATGCAAGTACTATCAAGGCTGAGGTGTAGCAGTGCCCAGTGGCCCCCTAGTGCCTTACTTTTGCTCTTGGGCAACTCAGGAATTTTAGTTTTTTCATAAAAAGCACATGCTGGGCACCCTGGATTTCACAGCTTCAGAGCACTAGGCTCCATTCAATTTTCCTTAGAGCACAGCCTTGACTATAAATCACTAACAGCATTCAATAATGAAAATTATTCCCAAAAATCTTTACAATGTAGTGGGACTATTCCCACACAGGTCAAGTAAAAAAATCAATGAGAAAAATTGATGTTGGCTCACACAACTGACTTTGCTGAAAAAAGAGGTATTGCTTAAGGTCTTAAGTTTCAACAGCATACAAAATCAATCAACTTGTACCTGATTTGTCAAACCATATACACTTGCTATCAGGGGCATTGGCAACCATTGATTTGGCATCACTCAAAAACTTCCCATTATAAGTTACCGGGGGTAGTCTGTCATGTTCCAGCTGATGATTATCACCATTTCTGAGTCCATTTGCAAGTTTTCCTTTCATAAGGCAGCTAGGACATGTTTCTACCACAACACTAATAATACTTTTGTCAATTCCAAAGTCTCTATGGCCCACAGTGTATTTTTCTTGTATCTGAAATATTATAAAATCAAAACAAAAAGAGATATAGTCTACTTTAACAAATATTAATGGTTTAAAGCTAAGGATCCACAACTCAAAGTTTTGTAATATGTACAAATACAATTGATCAGATCACATGATGAACCAAACCAGTAAGTATAATACAGCAAACACTCCTTCCAGCAATCAGAGTCTACTGAGTTTGAAAGCAAATATGCTGGAAGGGATATTGAGTGTATGAGCCCTGTGCTATACAGAAGAAATGGCAGACAGCAAGGGAACTTAATTGTTTTAGATCTTGAAGATGACAACATTTAATACTAGGCTCCTAGAAAAATATGTTGCATGCTCATGCAATGCTCCAAGTAGAGTTAGGATTAGTAAGGGGTAATAGAGAAACCATGCCGTAAATACTTTCTGTGCAGGTTTATTTCCAAATGCTATCATTCTCACATGTTTGACCTTATCATTCATCACAAGTCTGTAATTCAATTTGCAGCCTCACATTTTTGTCCATACAGGTCTCTTGTGTGTGTTCATAGGGAAACATTCATTTTAGTTCAACATAACAGACCTAGACGCTTGGTTCTTTTGCATGAAAAATAAACTAATTTGAAGAGACAAATTTCTGATGATTTATCAATTCTACAAAAATAAGCAAGAGCTAATCATTTGAGTGAATGACTTAGCTGGCAGGCAAATTTAACCAAAAAAAAAAAAAGTCTTTTTATAGGATTACACAATTACTGGTGAACCAGTAGTTTCCATTGTGGTCCTCCCAAACACATGAAACAAATGGTCTAAATTGAACATAACATTATTAAGAACCTCAACCGGCCAGAGGCAAACCAGTTGGCTATTTACGAGCATGGCCAAGGATCTGAACTCAGGGCTACCGTGAAACAAATCCAGTGGTCAGGGTGAGACTTGAACCCGGGAGCAGCGGATTACAAGTCCAACACTCTAACCACTCAGCCACACTGCCTCCTCAGCATCTGTCAAGATGGGAAATTTAACCCCCGTTGTTGTGCTGAGATTTGGTCTGATCAATGTTTATAGAGATAGATTAAATATTCCATCCAGTAGAATCAATGCTGGCCAGCGCCCCTTTTATTATCGTGGCGTAAAAGTATGGGATAATTTAAGTAAAGATTTAAGGGAAATCATGAGTACTAAGGTCTTTAAGAGACGTTTAATTAATGAACTGATTTGTAACATGAACGATCTTCGATAATTGTTGTTTGCATATAGTAATTAAGTAATATATAAGTAATATGAAAGTATAATAGTTAGAGTTATTTATTTAGTTTTACTATTTTTAATATTGATGCTGAAGAGCCCTTTTCCGGGATGCTCAATAAAGTGTATGTATATATGTTTCTATGGGAATTTCCAGATATTATAAACAAGGAGCAATCTTTCAAGTTTCATACTAGTATCTGACAAGGTCTTGGCCATAAAAGTAACATCTAGGTCACAAGGCCAGCCCACATTACCATTTCAACAGATTGCACCTGGCTCGAATAAAGAGGCCCGCAGAGTGATTAATTTTGTCCTTACGAAACAAAAAAATAATATACAAACGTTCACTGGTGTAACAAATAATTCAATCTGAGATTTTTGGTCATTATTTTCACCCAGGCCGAGTATTATTTTCACTGCCTGGACTTTCACAAGAGAATTACAGAAAAATGCAAAAGTGTTGCTTAATCAATAAAATAAAAGCTGAACAGACATCAATATTCCTCACAAAAAATTAATCGTAAAGTTATACTACGTTTCAAAACTATCCAAATTCTTACCACTAAACCTACTGCAAAACTAACTCATAGATCTTGAAAATAATCATTATCTTGAAGTTTAGCTCACAAATCAAATTATTTATTTTTAATTTGTATCATACAAGTAATAACAGCCTTTGCATGAGCAAGGGTACATATAACTCACCACAGAAAATGTTTTCCTTGCGTCATAATGTCCTATCGAATGAACTTTTCGCACCACGGTTTGAAATTCTTCCACTGGTATAATTATCTTACCAGTTCTCTTGTAAACGAGTACATGACAGTTTGCTTCAGCGTCAAAGCGTATATCCATGCGTTCAGCCCAACTCTTAAATCTTTCTCGTCTTGTTATTCCACCTCTCGGTTTCGGAAAACCCGCCGCTTTTAATTCGGGTCCGCTAGGCCAACAACATTTCCACTCAGGGAGGGTGGTTGCGGAACGCGCGCGAAGACAATTCAGAAACAAGTCGTATAGAGTCCTTGGTAGCGGTCCAGCATTGTTTCTTTGTCTGCCGGTGTTCTCATTTGCTCTTTCTGCATAGGTTTCATCCATTTTATTAAGGCTGCAAAGAAAACTTCATCACAACTTTGCGTGTTTGAATACTACGATTCAGAAATTCGACTGTTTTATCTGCGCACGCATTAACGTCATCAAGGTCACGTGATAAAAGTTCCCGGATGTTCATATTCTTTCTGAGATCCAATCGAATAGATAGACGTTAACGAGTGCCTGAAATATTTCGCTCAACCTAGAATCTTGACTGAGAACTAAATAAACATTTTCTAAGTTGGCCTCTCCACCAAAATCCGTATTTAGGATAGAAGTCGAAAAAGCCCGAATTTTTAACCAATGAGCAATATTAAGAAGGTATGTGGGTATTTTATGGCATGGCCCCGAAAGGAATTGAGGTGATGGGTAGTACGTAAGCGAGGCTAGTACCATTTTAGTATGTCATTAACCTCGTGACCCTTAAGAGTGACTCCTCATACTATCATCTTTGAATCAAAAACCAATGTCACGAGAGCGTGGGAAATAATCATCAACTAAAGAAGCTCTCATTCTCCTTGTCGGCACCTAAGTAAATGTACAAAGCATGCGCAGAGCAGTGTAAAGAACATGCATACAGATATAAGGGGTGTAAAAGGTTTATCAAAATAACATGGGGGATTTGTACGTATAAAACGTATTAATCCAACGGCAATCATAAGTTTTTTAAAAGCAGAGAATTTATCAATTTTTGTGACCTACGGCAGCAGGGGCAATTATCAAAAGCGCAAACAGCACGTTCGCCCAAACCAGGTTACCATGCAGGAAACGAGACTCTCCCGAAATGTGCGATCGCCATCTTGAATTTTAAAAGCGTAGAGCTGTCATCCACCGCTCTCTCGGCTATCATACATTGACTTCGTGGCCGACCCTACGAAGGCGAGGGAGCAGGGAAAACTAATTTGAGAGCGGAATCCGATCGTTCGCCATTCGTGCTCCGATCAATTTCTTCTTCCCAGCAAATTCAAGGAAGGGACACAACGGGCCGCCGCCCCC